TTTTTCTCATGTGCACATCTTATCCTGCCCCGCTCGGTTGTTGTTGTTGACCCATCTGGACCATACATAAATCCTTTCCCTTGACCTAATTCGTTCCAAGGTCTTTTGAAATCCCCTTCATCATTTATTTTTTTTTTCTATTATATATTCTTTTGTTTTACATATCGGGAGGATAAGATAACTCCTCGTAAAAAACCCAGATGACTCTCATGGATACAATTAATTGTACATCTAAATTATAACCAAAAAGACAGAAAACAAACACCAAAAGAAAAAAAAAGAAAAAGAAAAGAGTAAACCTATGTTATGGAGAATTCGAACCTGAAACCTCTAACCAGCGACTACCTCATTGCAAATATATTAAATTTAAACCTAGGACCTAGTAACAACAATGAAGTCGGCCTTTTCTACGGGTAGAGGATTACGTTAATTGGGGGGAAGAATCATGAAGTTTTAGGAGGAATAGGGTTAGAGAGGGTGGGTGGTGGACCAACCGGCCATGGTCAAAGGAAGTGTGTGTGCGTGTGTAAATTAAGTAACTATATGTGTAATGGAATTGGTTGTGGCCTGCCTCCGATATTTTGTGTTCCGCCCCTTCATCGTCTTCCACACACTTACCCATCAATATAATTGTGATGAATGGTGATTGTTTGTTTCACCTTACTACACATGTACTACATCTTACGTTATTACTACTCTATCCGTCATCCCATAATTATTGTCCAATTTGAATTTTATTTTTAGTTCAAATTATATTAAAAGTAAAATCTAAATCTGCACAATAATTTTGAGGCACCATACTTTTTTTATCTTCTTCAATTAATTTGATCAATTTAGGTGGAAGATAAAGATACGAACTAGTTGAAATTTGTAGATCATGATGATTGATTAGACCGAACGAATTATGGAGCTTCCATATGCTCTTTTTTTTTGTCCTAATCGAAACTTTCATCCTTTTTAAATACTTCATATATATCTCAAAAATGATGATTCTACGTACACATTATTTTTTTGAAACGAAAGGAGTTAGTATATACAAAGGTGATTGCTTAATTATGCGATGATGGTATAAGGAAAACACTCCCAACTAGAGAGTACTTGCAAAGAAATTTCAAATAATATGGTGAGAGTTTTGGGTTATCTAAATGTATTTAGCGCTTTAATTTTGAGGTCATAGGAGAGTTACTCATCTATATTTAGGTGGTTCAGTTTGGCTTTTGAAGAAAAGAAAATTGGGAGATGGAAAAAAGAAAAAAAACATGCGTGGAGCAACTTTTAATAATATTCTCTTTGCCGTGGTCCTGTGCTTGTTATTATACCTCAAAAATTTAATTAGTAGAACTCTTGGACCTCTTGATAGCAACTACCAAATTATTTATATTTGATGAGGCTTCTCTTTCTTTGATTAATTAAATTAACAGTATATGTATATCACCAAGTTGGTCTACTAAATGTCAATGTCTTTATTAATTTTCAGTTTACATCCAATGAGAGACTGGGTTCCTGATTCTTAACCTGCAATTGATCCATGGTCTTCCCTAGATTTCTTTATTTTGAAAAAATGCACGCCCATTTTTTACCCAGAAAAAAAAAAGAAAAGAAGATCGTGTTTTCCATATCGTTTTCACTGCAAAATTTAGAAATACCTCTTCATTTTGAGGTTGAGACTAGGGAGTGGCATTACGAGTTTAACACTAATAGCTAGTCAATTTATGTGAAAGAGTGGGCATTTTACATTAACTCTTTTTTTATATTGTTTAAAATTCCTTTACTTGAACTGATCTCATGATAATTATAGATATTCTAAAATCAAACCACTGACAAAATCAACGCCGTTTTGATTTTATTATTTGGGTTTTAAAAATGATTGTTATGGGGGAATTTCTAAGTGTTGAACTAATGATATTTGTTACATTTTTGTTTATTTTTATATATATTTTCTTACAGAAAGAGCCCGTCGTTAATTATGTTACCGTCAAACCTTGTCCAAAGCAGCAAAATCATATAATCGGCTTTCGTCATATAGATGAAATTAAATAAATAAATAGTACGTATGAGATAACAAAGAGTTTGGTCCGCTGTGCCAATCATGTTTTTTCCTCTACTTTCTTAAATATGTATTTAATTTAATCGCTTAGTCCACGTTTAGAAGTTGATGAGAAGAATGATCCAGATCAATGATATTTCCAGAATCATTTTATTATTTGAGTTGAAAAAACAATTGTTTTAATTTGATTCCGTTATCATTGACGTTTAGCTAACTTTAATTCTTTAGTCTTTAATTGGGTGCGTAGATATGCTTAAGTGATTTTAAATATATATATAAACAGATTAATTTACTCAATCTGGTTGTTATCGTATCTTCTTCTCTGCGGTAAAATTAGGAGAAAAATCCACCAATATTATAACTGTATTTTTGAGACAAATAAAGTTTTTAATCAAATGGATATTTTGTTCCAGATTAGTTTTCATAATCCAGATCATTGTGGAGGTTAAAGACCCTTCAAACTTCTGACACATGTCTGGAATTGGCCTGCATTTGAGCTACTATCTAGGCGGCCACTACAATTATTTTATCAACTTTTCAGCTTCAATATCAACGAATTTAATTACTATTATTATTCAATATGCCTAGTTATTCACTACTAACATAAATTTACCATTAAACATATATTATTTCAAAACTCAAAGAAGTGGGAGATGAATGCAGCAGCAAAGTCGGTTTTTTTTTTTTTTTACAAGATATATTTCGATGAAAAGTCTAATTAATAAACTGAATAACGATTCAGCATGATAATTAGATAGTACTTAACATGAAATTAATAAACTGAATAAAGTCTACTCTTGTTTCCGTCACTTTATTTTATTATGATAATAAAATTATATAATAAATTGTGCTAAGAGCGTGTTAACAAAAAATAATGTAGACTTTGTCCAATCTACAATACTAATATATACGAACATGGCTCCTACTTAATAGTTTCTCTTTTCTCCCTCCCCATTTAATTCTGTTCAAGATTAACTAGCTACTAGTATCTAATTTCTTTAATTGTTATTATTATGTCAATTAACAAAAAAAAATTGGAATTGTTTTCCATTCTTTTACGCAATCGTAGTTGACGGTATTGCAATTTTCTTTGCTAATTCTATTTTGAATAATCTCTATAAAAGTTTGTTGTTGGGTAACCAAGAGTGACAAGAAAGTGCACAAAAAGAAGCCCTACGCAGCATTCAATTTTGTCACATTAATTTCATAGGATGCTTAGAACCACTTTAATTGCCATAAAGTTGTAATCAAAACATTAATTAGTAGAGCACAGCTAACCCAAGCCATACGGCAACAACAGTTTTCATGCATTTAAGGGCACATTTTCTCAATCAAAGGAAAAAAGAAAAAAAGAAGAGAAATGTGTAATTTTAAGGCCAAAACTACAAATACAGACAGGTATGTTTGAACATTGAGTATGTAACGTACTCTCTCCTTTCGCTCCTTATTATAAGATATTTTGATTTTGTCTTAGGTCTTACTTAGAATGTGTTTTTAATTAAAAAAATTTTCAAAATATATTTTCAAATTCGTCGTCTTCTCTTAATTATTAAAAAATATTTTTAAGTTTTTATTTTAATTAAAAAAAACATACTAGGTGAAACCTATGACAAATCAAAATATCTTATAATAAAGACGGGAGGGAGTATAAATTAAAAAGAAAAGTTTGAGGATAAGGAATGATTTTTATTATTCCTGAGAATAACGAGTTGAAATACAAAACAACAAATACAGAGAGGTATATACATCATATGATCATAATAATTCATACATATAATAATAATAATACTGTAATGCTAGTGGTTGGAGTTGCATTGCTCATCATTTGCCGTAATACTCATTAAACAAAATACACACACCCGATGCGACTTCCACACCGTAATTCTTACATAATCAATCTTCCCCAACACCTCTTTTTCTTCTCTTCTTCCTTAAAAAGACAACCTTAACCGATTCAGATATAATTCAAGTTATGGAACTTGATCCTCAATCCTCTTCCTATCTCGGGAAATCCTGTCGGAATCTCATCGTTTTCCGGCAACTGGGTTGATCTTTTCCCTTGCTCTGTTCTTTTTTTTCTTTTCCACAGTTCATCCCGGCCTAACTAGTCCAACATCAGTTTAGTTGCCAAAACATCCATCTCCGATCATCAAGTTCAGGTCTTTATCTCTTTTCCACCTTTCATTTTCTCTTAAAACTTCTGGGTTCTTTGGTTTTCTTCCTCCCCTTTGTCTTGTAATCTTTGATCTAATTTCGTTCAGTCTGAGTTTCTGTGATGGAAAAAAAAACAAAAAAAAACAAACTAAGCAGAGTCGATGATTACAATGTGAAATATGTTTGAGAAGATTTTTGAGCTCTTGATTTCTGCAGAAGGTTTTTGTTTTTTAATATAGTTTTTGTTGAATCTGGGTATGGAGGCAATGTTGCTTGCCTCTGTCTTTCTGAGTTTATGGGAGAAAATTGGCTAATAAAGTAAACGAAGAAGTAAAGGGAAGGTAACTTTCCAGGATTTGTTTTACGGCTTGTATTGGCAAAGGTGGCTTGTTGGAATGCATTACATTTTAAGATTTTCTCCACATGTGGTTGCCTCTTTCATATTAGCCTCTGACATATTTCCTGATAAAACAAAAAAAATTTACTATTGGAAATCCGAGTGAGATTCTATATTTTATCTTCTTTTCATGTATTGTAAAAAATATAAATTTTCTTTATAGTACGTTTTAGATGCACCCACTTTTCTATCCTTGGAAAAATTCATACTTTTTGAGTCAGATTACACAGTCATATTCCCTGACAAGTGTCCTTCAATCTCAAAAGTAACATGTTTTTTGGTGGTTTTAGATAGGATTGCGTGGCCCTTATGCAGCACTTATTGGATGATTCCATCATGTTGATTCAAAGTACTCTGCTTTGTGTAAATTCAGGGCTTTGAATATAAAAAGGCAGGGGTGGCATGGGGCATTTCTCGTACATGTTTAATGGTTTGGCGAGGTCTTTTTCCATGAAGAACAAAAGGAGCTATTTTTCGGGTTGCAGTGGGAGAGGGGCTGTGGAAACCTTACATAATGAAGAAAAGAAGGTTGACATGGTGTTAAGGACCTCAGGCACTGTTGAGGGATCTAAGAATTTTGCTGCTGTTTTCTCCAAAAGAGGGGAGAAAGGGGTGAATCAAGATTCCTGCATTGTTTGGGAGGTATGCAGTATGCTGCTCCCTTTCTTTTCTGTTCATCTTTCTTCATCTGTAAATTTTGGTCAATCTGTACCATTCAATTAAGGACCTTGCTGATGTTTATTCTTTCATTGTTATAGGAATTTGGATGCCAAGAAGACATGATGTTCTGTGGCATATTTGATGGACATGGTCAATGGGGTCACTATGTTGCAAAGTGTGTTAGGGAATCAATGCCGTCTTCTCTGCTATGCAATTGGCAAGAGGCAGTTGCTGAATCTGCTCTTGAGCCTCAGATTGATGTAGAATTGGAGAAGAAATTTAGTTCGTTCAATATATGGAAGAGTTCTTATTTCAAGACTTGTGCTGCTGTGGATCAGAGGCTTAAGACTCAGCGTAAATTTGATTCCTTCAACAGTGGAACCACTGCATTGACCATCGTTAGACAGGTAAATTAGCTGAACCAATTTGGATTCAGAGTTCATGAAGTTTCCTAGATGAATCCGTGTCATTCGTTCTCCAGCTCAGTAATTTATTAAATGAACCGTTTCACAAAGTTGATTCTAAAGATTTTTGGGTTAGGGTTCTACTTTCTTGTTATATCTATGATCAGCTTTGCGGTTTTTTGGGAAGAATAATGATACTACAATTTCATCAGAACTTTGCATGTTTTTCCTTTTTCATTGGTCACTAATGGAAAGAGAGCGCCACAAGCTGCGATGCAAACAATTTTAAGTTTTTAACTTTTAAGTATATTTGCCTTAGTTGCATTCTGGAAACTGTGGTGATGAACTTGTGTAGATCAAGTCCCCAGTTTATCTAATGCATTCATTTTGTTTGGTTACTATTGATTGATATTCACCTGTTTCATGATATCTTGATCCTGTTATCCCTTTAAACTATCCACTATGATAATGGACTAATGGAAAGAGTAGTTGATTTGGTATTAGTTTTCTCACTAGTTTTACTCTTTTGGTGTGTCGTCCAGGGTGACTTTATCTTTGTGGCAAATGTGGGCGATTCTCGTGCAGTACTTGCTACAACTGCCGATGATGGCAACCTCGTCGCTGTTCCCCTTACGCATGATTTCAAGCCCAATCTACCTCGTGAGTTTCTTTGTTTCTTCTTCTCAAATTTCCTCTAAAATGTATTCAGCATGTCATGAATCATGATCATTTCTCCTGTAACTACAGAGGAGACTGAACGGATAACTAAGTCGGGAGGTCGTGTCTTCTGCCTGGATGATGAACCTGGAGTACACCGTGTGTGGCTTCCAGATGAAGAATCACCTGGGCTGGCTATGTCTAGAGCCTTTGGAGATTACTGTGTCAAGGATTTTGGACTCATTTCTGTTCCTGAAGTCACACAGCGACATATAACAAGCGACGATCAATTTGTTGTACTGGCTACAGATGGGGTATGCACAATATTCTGCTGAATCTGATTCCTTTTAGCTTTTTATTATTATTTGATCATGAATGCATGACTAGAGCTACAAGCTATATTTGCTCTTAGACACTTGCACCTAAGTGCACTAGGGATCCTCTATTTTTAACTTTTGCTCTCTAAAAAACTAGTTTAGTATAAAAGACTATGTCCAAACTGTGAAAACTTTAATCTTAAAATCACTGACATTTGATTGTTGAGATACAATAGATACACATGCAATCGATTCCCCTGCATTCATCTGATTGAACTTCACAGACCTTAATACATTGTTATTGCCTTTCAGGTTTGGGACGTGATTTCCAACCAAGAAGCAGTGCAGATTGTATCATCAATTCCAGACAGAGCAAAGGCTGCCAAAAGTCTAGTAGAATGCGCAGCGCGGGCATGGAGACGGAAGCGAAGGGGTATAGCCATGGATGATATTTCAGCTATTGTTCTCTTTTTACATAAACCTTCTATATGTCAGCAGATCTATCCTGTAAATAAATCCAACAGCATTTAGGAAGATTTGATTAATGCTTCATTCCCCTTCTTTTCCCCTCGTCTTTCACAGTGCTGTTTCATCTACAGACACTTTATTCTCCACCGACAATTTTGAGGTAGAGTTTATGAAAATAAAAAAATCAAGAAGGGTAAGTTAACTAAAAAAAGGAAATACGCTGTTGATATAATTCTGCTCCCTTTGTACCAAATGAATGATACATGATATCATTTTGGGACAATCCAATATATTCATTTTTGTTGACTAAATCAACTGGAAAAAGGAGCTGTCCAACTAGGTTTTGAAGCACTATCATAAACAGTTGAATTACGATAACAGCAGAAGCGCTAAGAACGCAAGGGCTAAAACTTGATATATATTGTATTAGATTTCCTCTTGAAAATCAATGCATCATCAATCTTCTGCAGTTATTCAACCTGATAACAGCTAGGGATCAATATTGTCGACAGCTTGACGCCCATCAGGCACCAACCAAAAGAACAAAGAATGTTGATGTCTTGCCACCTCCTAAGAATATCTAACCACCTACTTTTCTCTAGAGAGGAAAGCATTTGTATTACTGTACAATTCTTTTCCCCCCATCCTATACACCATTTTAGGCTCAGTAAAACACCTGCGGTGATGTATAAAACTCACTCTCAATGAACACCGGTCTCAAATCTTCTTGACACATAAACTGCAGAGGAAAAGAAACCAGATGTCCTCTGACTGACTGTAACTTCTCTGATGGATCCATATGAACTACCTTTCCATCCTCACAAATTTCTAGTTTCTCAGGAGCAACCCCTAAATCTAGGGTGTTGTACCCAAGCTTCTCCTTAGAGAGACTCATAGCTTGTCTAAAGGCAGACCTGCAGTAGCATGGATTTCGAGCTTATTGCAGCTGAATCAAAACAAGTGGAGATAAGGAAAGAAGAAAAATATTATAAAAAGTTTTGCATCTTGTGTACCTGGAGTGGATCTGGTCATTTGGGACACAGGAAAATACATCTTGGTAGATTTTGGAGTTCAACTGCAAATTGTATCACGATCAATTTCATTTCTCAACAAGATAAAGAGCAATCAAGCTCCTATAGAGACAAGAAACACGGCTTATTTGTACACATCATTAAAATTCAACATAATGCAATCCCTTCACTCGCATACAAGTGACGGGTTCTTTAGCATACTGCATATTGGATAAACTCAACTACAATCTTAGCTTGCTGGGAAAAAAAAAAAACAATATCATGTGATTTTGTTTTCCACTTCTGCTATTATGAAACCTAGCCAAATGTTCCAGTTTCTGCATGAGACAAGATACCATTCAAACTCTTGAATTCTGCTAGCTAGATTAGGCATAAGAGTAGCACATAAGAACTTCGTCTGCCAACATTTGTGATAGGGTGAACATTTCTCGAGCTCATAAAACACATCTGAACCACTCAAAACAAAAATATGGTAAATCTATGATTTGCCATTCTTACCCTTGCAGTTTCCATCCACAAATCCTGGTATGTAGAGTCAATTATAGGATCTCTAATTTTATCAACCTGGCAAAATCAAAACGGTATCATGCACATTTACTATCTTCTAGGATATTTTCAAATTGGCTTGAAGAAAAAGAATTGATGATATATAAATAGATCATATCTTTGAAAGAGCCATCCAAGTTTAGCTTTCAACAATACTAACCTCCTCTGAAGATAAACCAAGATGCTCTGCCCACAAAGAGATCCGAAGACTGGAAGAGAATTTTCCAGCTTTCCATGATTCCCCATTCATAACTGAATCTACAAAAGTTTTATCTTCAATGACCACGCCAATCTGGAAAGCACATAGAATGAAAGTTACACTTAATAGTCAATTAAAGATAACTACATTGTAGTGTATCTATTTTTGGGAGATGATACTAAGTCGTTTACAGTAAGCCACCGGATTTACAGCACTTCACCATGAAAAAAATGATAATTATGATATTTTGCTTATATGTCTGATAGCAGAATGTCCTTACCTCGGAATCTCTTGATCCCAGTAGACTCCTGTCATTGATGTTAGCTGATCCAACCAAGGCTATACGATCATCTACAATCATCACTTTACTGTGGACATACACCTAAATGCAAAACTAGCAATATAAATTTCAGGGAAACAAAAATACTTCTACGCAACATCTCAGTTTATAACCTTGAAATTCTCCAGAAGTAACAAAAACAAGCAAATGTGAATATCAGATAATGCTTCATCTCCTAGATTGACAATAGCGAAACTTTATTTCAGCCAGCTAAAGCAGTTCATTGGCTTGATTTCCCCCCTTAATTGTTACTTAGAATATAGATCAATCCTTGAGGTATTAATGAAAAGGATGAGCAATTCTCTGATAGGAGTGTTCTAGAAGATAAACATTCATCATTAACCCCCGTTTTTACTGTTAGTAATTTAAGATCAAATAATTTGATTTGGCTTGATTTGGTACATGATGTATATTTTTTCCTGGGGGGCTATACAGCACATCAAGAACACCAAAGGTCAACATTCTGAATATTTAAAATGAGCAAGAGAAGGTAGGAAGGTAATTGGTCAACTACAAACATGTCCAGTATACTTTCTTGGCAAGTTATGCAGTTTCTAAGGATATTTTTTTTTCAGAATATGATGACTTCCGAAAGAAAATATTCTGATAAACTAAAAAAGATGATAGCAGATAATAAAGGGAAAACAAGCAAACTTATGTTAGAGAAAATGTTACCTGACTTGTAACTAATGGACCACAGTCAGAAAGTTTGCCGTGTGTCCTCAAACCATAAAAGGATATGTAATCTTCTGTTTCACAACCCAGTATTCCATTTAGCTTATCCAATATCGAGTTCTTTGGTCTGCAAATTGTGCGATACTGCCAGTGCATGATGGCTCTCACCGTAGCAGCACCACCATCATCAATGCCTCCCTGTAAACCACAATTGATGAATAACTCAAACATACTGCACGTAGAAAACCTTCCATAATAACTTAAATATCATACCTGGAACCCAGGCAGAAGGGGAATGACCACTATAACTTTAAATGGTTTATGTTCACTGTGTGCTTGGAGTATACGGTTGCATAAAGCTTCCAGTACTCTGTTCTGTATGATGTCATCGTCGGAAAGGCCTGATATAAAAAACTGATTCTGGAAGAAAAAAACCACAATAAAAGAATTAGATAGTAAATCATTTTTCATATTATATACTCCGGCCAGGAAAAATTGCCCTCTTTGTTGAACTAAAATGATACAAAGTGGACTATTTCTCTGGGACGGAGGGACTATATTGTGTCCAGTTTATATGCCAGTTTGTTTGAAGGATAAAATAAGGGGAAGTTGTATGGCTAGATTTTTTATTCTTATGACAAGTCAAACCTTCTACTTAGTTTTGCTGACTGGAATGGATATGTATTTGAATTAAGAAACTATTCATCAAGGTACATTGGACAGAATTTCCCCATACATTCTGCAAAGGGCCTTCTGAGTTAATAGTCCACAATGCAGATCTAAGATCACATATTCTTGCTCTCCTTTCCAGTTTCTTATCACTTAACAATACATCATTACTGTCTACAAATAAATGTTGCCATTTTAACAGCATTTAAATCAAGATACTTAGATTCTAGAAGTTTTAGTTACATGATAGATCAGAACAGAAGTAAAAATTCTTACCTCAATGTAAACAAAGTGCTCTGCTTTCTCTATCATAGAACAATAAGACTTATGAATGCTGTCTTCAGTTCGATTTGTTCCAGCAGACCAATGGCTTACACTTCTAATAACCTACATCAACACGTGAGAAACATAAGTGCAACCAAATCGGGCATCTAGCAACATTGTGTACCTAGAGGAACAAAAATGATAGCAATCTCGATTTGAAACAACCAGAGGACAGCTTCTCCATGCAGATGAAAGAAAACATAGATGTTCAAACTGAGGGATTGATCTTCTATATAGACAGTTTGCGATGAATACGGGATTGCAGAAGCTTAAATATGCCATTTGTATTTGATGGGTTTATGGCAACAAATGTTGACATAGACATCACTAGGTACCTCCAACGCACCAATAGGTGCTGCCTCAAAAAAAAAAAAAAAATGCTGTTCCCGCTCAACAAACTTTTTATTCGGTCAAGGGTTACTGTTTCTTTGGCCCTCAACTTTATGCAAACAGATAACAAACCTAAAATTCTAAATGAAGCTGGGATTGTGGTTTTCTTTTTATGGTCCGAAAAATCATAAAGCTTAGAGGCTATAATTATATATGAATATCAAAGTTGAATTCAATCTGATAAGGTTCAAATTCTAACCTGACAACTACATGAAGTACGAGGACCAACTTGTCCTATTTCATCAAATGAAGCAGATTGACAAAATCGCTCTTGTGATTGCCACCAATTATCTGAAGTTCCCAGATCTGGTTCTCCTAATTCATGGCTTCCTGTATCATGTTGACACACATGGGATCAGCATCATTTAAAAGCACTAAGTTTTAAAATTAAACTGCAACTTCTGATTTTTGGCAAGCAATTTTAGAACCTGCATTATCCTTCACACGATTCAGATCATGTTGATTGGAACCTAGGCCATCAGATTCCTCATCTAAGCTAGAAAAGTTAAGGGAATTGGCTTCCTTTGGCAGCAGCAACGGGACGTCTTCTGATGGGGACTGAGAAGAGAAGGAGTCCTGTCTGCCAAAATAATTCTCATCTATTGTAACTGGTTGTTTCTTAATTTCTATCCCATTGCTTCCCATGTAATGTGGAATAACCATGTGCTGTTGAGGTATGAGCAGTGGTATCTGATGTTCATCTGGAGCTGTGTTTCTCTGAGTTTAGAAAATAAATTTCAGTGCATGCAATTTGTGAGACAATATCTTTTTTATCCTAGAATCTGTAGATACACACCTTAGCATGGTTCCAGCGTTGAACGAAGTGCCTGGCTACATCTCGACATGCCGGTCCCCAAAGCGCACAATGGACATCGTGCCAAGGCATCCGAGGATACTTTTTCCTCTCGAGTTCATCTTTCATGGTGTCTTCCCAAGAATTTGGTTCCGATTCACTGAAAAGCAATCACAAAATGGAAACTAAATCACCAAGGATCACTGAATTGCAAGCAAAAGGACTACCATAAAGGCACCTACAAATTCAAAATCCTGATATCTTTGTAACAGTCAGCTGACTTTAAAGACGCCCTAGATTTTCATCCTCCAAATAGGATCTACAAAGACACTAAATTAAGAAGTTAAGAAGGTTACAAAAATGAGCAGTGTCCACTTTTGGTGATTCTCTATTATTTACTCCTTGTTTTGCATTTTTGGATATTATTATAGTCTTTCCCATGATTTTCCTAAACGATTCCAGAGGTGATAATAATAATGAAAAAGTTAACACGCTTGAAGAAGTTCAGTAGAGAAATATAGAATTTACCGAGGATTATAGTAGTCCTTTCCTGGCCATAATGAAGGAGGGAGATCCCCAACTTTGTGCTCATTTGTATCATAACGTCCAAAGCATAAATCCAGTCCTCCGAGGTAACAAACACGATGATCCACAATAACTAGTTTTTCATGGTGTGACCTGCATGTATATGTTTCCGAGAAAATTTATTTCCTCATTTGAAGCGAAAAAGAAATAAGAATTTTAGTGAACCGTTGAAAACACTAAAGGGATACTGATCTCATCGTTGCATTACCACAAATAAACACCAGTAGGGAAACGGTTCGGATAGCGCAGCACTTTGATATTCTCATGGATGGCAAGGAGCTTTCTTTTACTATATGAACTATTAATCTTTAGAGCAATAGCAACCTCCTTGTAAAGAAGAATGTAAATCTGCACAATCACAATATCAAAAGTCATAAGTCATCAATCACTGGAGACTGCCACAACTATCCGAAGACAATAGCAATTATGCATGCGTTCAAACTTCTAGCCAAGAGTTAGTAATAAAATGGGGTAAAGTTATCACTTAAACTTAAAAAATGTATCTGCATAATCAGGGGAAGCCTTGGCAAGAGGTAGGATCACGTGACCCTAGGACACAGGTTCAAGCGGAAAACATCCTCTTATACAACTACAAAGGTACAACTGCATACATTCAGATGCCCAACCCTTCCCCATCCACCAAAAAGCATAGGCTTCTAAGCAGCAAACTCATTTATTCAAGAACAAAGACCGGGAAAGCATGTAACTTGAATAGTCACAGCATAGTACATTTTGAAGTGAGACCCGACCAGCTCTCCCTAGATGGCGTTATTAGAGGAGAAGAAGTAGATGTGGCAGATCCAATCACTTTCAGAACCAATGTTGATTAGATGCATCTGAATACCCTTGAAGTAGAAGTATAAAAGTTTTTGAGTAATTATCAAGATTTCAATTTTTTGGTTTTGCTTAAAAGGGCAAGTGTGCAATCAAATAGACCTTTAATTTTGGAGTACTCATTTATGGTTACTACTAGATCACTGTCATTATCAATTCAAAATATGCTTTTCATATCTCCGAACAGTTACTAAAAGGGTAAATCAGATTTACCACCCTCAAAACCTGGTGAAAGTAACAAATACAAATTACGACGTCATGTAACTATTAATACAATCTGAACTGGTTAAACTAACTTTGAGATCCCTGAAGGTTGGAAAGTGGCATTGGCAGAGAGTTATGTGGTGACTACCAAAAAATGCTTCTTTAACCTAATGTAGCAAATGAAGAGATGAAAAAAACATGTAAAGCAGTACTTCTATATTCACCTTAACTCCTTCCTTAGCTTTAGCTTCAAGTAAGGAATCCAGCCTAGAGGAGCTGTGACTGTTGAAAGGACGTCTTAGATACAGTTCAGGGCAAAGCCACCATCCAGTGATAAATATCTGTGACAACACCATTACTTGAGGTATAAACTTTTAAATACTAGGAAAAAGAAAAACTTATTAAATTGATTAGTTGTAGACCTCTGATTTTGCTTTCTCTACTGATGAAGCAATTGCTTCAAATGCAGTTTTCCCGTCAATAAACCATTGAGCTTGACTTCCATCATCAGCCAAGCCCCTTGGAGGAGCAAATGAACCAAAGCGATGAGTTTTGCACCAGCCATCATGAGGAGTCAGACCAACATCATTAATTGCTGAAACCCAATCTTTGACTCTAGCATAATTGGAGCTTCTTAACTTAACTCTCCTAGTTCCGCAGGAAACCTACAATGAGAAGATGACAAATGATTACGACCCCATAACTGAAGGTCCAACAAAATAGAAGAAATACTAGCATGCAATTTTAAATAATAGCAGACAACTCTGGGAAACTGAATTTGGAACCTCTGGCATCAGGGACTTAAACAAATAGATGGATTTGTTTCAAAACCACATAGAATAAGGCATACTCCTAACCCTATTCCCTAGGATCTTAATAAATAGGCACATGAATGCTAAGACATGAGAATTTCCAAAAGAAATACAGTATCTTTAAGCAAAGTTATTACGTTTCCCTCACCTTAAAAGCATAACGTAATGGGGCACGGTTCTTTATCTCTTCTGCCAAACAAGCTCCAACCTTACCATCTTCCTTTGAAGCTGGCAGTACATCAAAAACAACTATATCTACGAGTCTAGTGTCAAAAGGATCCTTCAAAAGAGCCAAGAATCCTGGTTTCAGGACAGCCCAAACCTACAATACAGTACCAGACATTAGAGATGCCAAGGAAATTAAGATACTGAGATAAGAAGATTTATTGCAAGAGAATGATAGCTGAAAAAATCTACTGAAGAAATATTGTCTCTTTTTAGCATTTTGAAATAGACTTCGCATATTATGTTGCCTGAACTCAGACCAGTTAGACGTCAGTTGAAACAGTGAAAAGAAAGAAGGAAGAGTTGTTGAAATTTTATAAAGACAGCATGTACAGATCATATGGAAATAAGGCTAGTCTGCCAGCAGCTTCGTGTCTTGTTCATAAAGCAAAGAATATAATGAGGAGTTACTAATTCCGCCTTATAACTGATGTCTTTTCTGACAAGTGAATGAGAATTGCAACATTTGTCCTATAGGTTTCCAGTGTACGACGAGGATATCCACATTATTACATTGGCAATTGAATTAGTACCAACATGTCTTTCAATACATAGCAACTGTCAGTATCCCTAACAAACACAAATAAGACATGATATCCAAATAAGAACATAATCTCGCTAATCCATTCTACTTTTCAAATCATTAACAGTTGTCAGATGCAAAGAAAACCACATCTAGAAGTTCAGCAGATTTAGAATAACCAAAGTCACCAAACCATAGACAAAAGAAGGGAGTGGAAACTTTCGTTTGGTGTTAAATTGACTCATTAATGCCAGCAGAGAAAATACAGCTCTAATTAGGGATGAATACATAATATTCAGTATTGAGAAAATCAAGTAGCGAAGTTTCTCTACAGCATCACTTTCACTCGTAAAAAAGTTCCCCAGTCACTACTGGCATCCATTTTAATTACCTTCTCCCACTTGTCCCTGCAACAGCCAGCCCAATGGCATATGCAACATCTTGAATATATGTCCTCCTTTGGCATTGTTGATGAACGCTTGACCATTACATAATCTTCTTTAAGTTTAGGTCCAAACTCCGGAGAAAATGATAACTTTGAAACCTCCAAGAACTTGCAGACCTGGAATTAAGGTCTATAGATCATTATCAAAACATACCAGTAAAGTTGCCATAAAGGCTTAACATAACTGTAAAATTCAAGTATTCTTCACTTCACCGATATCAACAAAAATGGAGTAACAAAATATGTTTGCAATTCACTCAACTTAAATTTTAATTCAAACCTAAAATTAGTAGCTAAAGCTTAAAAGAGTAACCATATCAAAATAAATAAAATGCAGGATTTGGTTTCACATATGAAATAAGCAAGTCAAGCCTTCCCAGAGAACAAGAATGAACCTGATTTCCGGAAAGTAACATGCGATAATGTAAGCAAAAATACATGACTTTCAATTTCCATATCCCAGTGCCATTTGTACATGCAATTTGTGTGGAAGGGGAAAAAAAAAAAAGTAAATCCCGGAGTAGGATAGCTGGAAGCAATGTGTACTTCAAAAGTTGGCGGGATTACAAAAAGCAGGTAAAAGTAAGAGTCTCGGCTTTTAGAATTCACATATCACCAAAACTTAAAGGACGGTTTATGAACCTCTCTAGTGTTAACAATATCCAGGTTTCCCAAGAAGTGATTCAAATATCCTTGCATTGCTGCTTTAGCCTTTTCTGAAACAGTGTGCTGCCTGCCAAGTGCTGGACGAATAACAGAGAAAGCAGCTCTGGACGGAACAGATCTGCAAAAACGTAACCGTTAGATTACGACTCGCCCATTAGTATAGTTTGTAACTTTAATCTGATGGCTAAATTATTAAATAATTTCAATCACCTGTTCTTAACACTATCATCAGTAAATATAGGAACAATTCCATCATCAGGTTCATCATCATCACGGACAATAGCTGTATGATCGCCAAATCCAAGGTGATGAAGCCATTCTTTAACCTTTTCAAAAAATTGAAATGAAATCTTAACAATGAGTAGGGGGGTTATCAAAAAATTTAGAAACTACTGCATCATACAACTTTGCAAAAATGGCTGTGAAATTAAACAATAAGTTGGGATACACAAGCTTAACTACTGAAAAAGAAGAGATGGAATCTTTTTGTGTTTTGCAGGTCTTTCAGCATATAAGAAGAAAAAAGATAAAGAGACTTAGGGCACCTGCTCTTGTTTCTCATAGAACTCTTCAATAATCGCACGCTTCTTCAAGGCAAAGTGTAGATAAAAAACTTGTGAAGCTTTCTTCACTAAGCGCCAGTTGAACTGTTGATAAATGACAAGAGTAAGCCCCTACCATTATGCCATTGGCGGAATGCATTCAGTTAAGAGTTAAGGTGCAGAAACATTTCAAGTTGAGTGATCAGAAACAGTTCAAGTAGTTTGATCATAAACGGTTCAAGCCTCTTTCTCAAGTTGCACGAAACTGAAACAATCATTCAAAGCATCTATCTTGTAAAGCAGTATGGCATGGCAAGGTTTCGATCACATAATTACTTACTATGTTTGGAAACTAAATCAAAAAAAAAAAAAAAAGACCTCTACCAATAATACTGACTAGAGACCGGCATTTGATTCACACAACAAAGTAACTTGAGAACCAACAGTTTGTGTCATATCAGTCAGACATTAGCCTTCACTGTCAATAGCAGAAACAATGAGATCACTTATTATCTCATCATTTTCTTGCATTTGTAGAATCTTCCACTGAACAGCTTGTGCGAGTAAATAAGAAAGTATAATTTCACAAAGGAATCAACAGACACAATGCTGTCCTTAAAATGTATGCATGCTTCACGTTGGCACAGGTTCAGATAAATCTCAAAATAGTAAAAAAAAACATAGCCATTTTCCCCCAATTTGTTATTTAAAGAGGAAAAAAAATACGCATGGCATGTGATTGACCAAGGGCTCATTATATCCTGATTCCAGCAGTCCTGGCACCAGCTTTGCTAAAGAAGCCAAATGAGAAGTTATCTCACTTAACAAATACTCATTGTGTAATGACTCTTCTCCACTGGATCATCAAAGCCCTTGAATTTTCGATTCATGAACCATTGAATTTCAGTTTCATCACAAGAAGTTAAGAACTTTCCTTTACAATCGAAATCCATTCTACCTTCAATTTTGATCCTCCAAGGAAGGGAACACCATAAAGCATCAAAATCAAAACTCACTTCAATGAAATCAAACCATATAAACCCTCACTGTTTCCAACAAACCACAGCGCGACCTACCTTCTTAATCAGCGATATCATCAATGAAAAAACAAGCACAAACAAACAGGACACAGGCATTTTAACTCCACATTTGAATTTCGGAAAAAAAAAAAAAAAAAGCAACATCCTCCAACTCCAAACGCTGTAAACAAGTAAACAAACACATTTGAAAACAAATGTACACGTAAAATCCTCAAGTAGCCAAAAAAAAAAAAAATTAAAAAAAAAATGCAGAACCAAAATGGAACAGTAAAAGAGGAATTTGCCTGCTTATATCGAATTTCGATAGTGTAGGTTAGAAGCAACGGACTAAAATCACCAGCCTCCGGGCCAGACAACTCCAGGATTCTAGCCGTCGGCAATTCATCGAAAATTCTCGCCGTCTCGCCGGCGTAACACCGGAGGGAATGGCTCGACGACAGAGCCGACGACGGCATTTTCTCAATGAGTTTCTCCGTCAACATTTCCTTCGATTCCATTTGTTATTCTTTTTTCAGAGAGTCGAATAAAAATGAATCAAATCAAAACCCCATGTGGAAATTAATAACAAAAAAGTGAGGTTTTCATTTTTGGAAGGGAAACGTTTTTCGGGAGGAAAAGTTTGAAAAAATAAGAAGAACAATACAGACGAAATTAGAGAAAAAGAACGTAACGTATTATAATAGCTGCAACTAAGGGGAAGGGGGAAGAGAGAGAAAAGGTGACGTAAGGTTTCAGCATAATGGCGGGTTGAAGTGCACGGAAATTGTGTGAAGGTGGGACAAGATGGTGACACGTGTAATTTAAATAGTTCAATTTCCACGTGGCAAGAAAGTACTGGTTTGTTTTTTTTGCATGAAGGAGATGCGTAACAGTGGATTTAAGAGTTCTTTTTGAGTTTAATTATGGGTTAATTATATGTGTGATTTAGCGTAATATAGTAGTTTGATTATGAGGCAAACTGTCAGTAACCGAATTTAAGGAAACGAAATTACGGGCATATCCTTTTTGTTCATTTTGCATATTCGTTCCGGATCCTGTTCATGTTCGGGGCCCCATTGGACAATTTTGGATCATTGTCGAATACAGTAGTATTTAGGAATAAGAGGGGTCAATTATACAATCGACAACTTGCATTCCATATGGTCTTTTTGATGAAAAATTGACGTTTTTTTTTTTCTTAGGTTGCTACTTGGTTCTATATATTCTATTTTGGAATGATTGATAAATGATAATAATCCAGCTGCTACAAAGCTGTTTTTAAGGATAACTTGGTTTACAACTCTTTTACTAACTATTCCCGTTTTAAATTTGATGAAGTTTCTTGTACTAATTTGAGTGTTAAGGCGATAGAAACAGTAAAATCACAAAAGTTTTTTAACGAAACTACAAAAAAAATTACATTTTTATTCAGTTATATTTGTAAACTAAAATTTTAACTCGTACATAAATTTTTCGCCAAACGAGTTTCATGGAATATTCTTTTACAATGGTACAATTAATGTGTATTGAATTTCATATAATGTTTACGCGAAAATGTTGCGGTATTTCATTATTATTTTAAAAAATATATAATTTCATTAATTATGCCGAAATTAGTTAAATTTCACCGACTTTTGTTTAGCATACAAGATATTGTTACATGTGCACTAATATACTCTCATTTAGCATAAGAGGCTATAGGATAGTGTTGAATTTTTTGAATAACATTATGCCCAAAAAAATTACTTTGTCTTCCTCTAAGTATATTGTACTAACATATTAACAAAACAATTTTTTCTTCAAATCAGGTAGCTGTGATGTGAATCTATTAACTTCTGTGGTGCTGGAAAGGGCATTAGGGTCATTCAGCCGGGTAGTAGAATCATTATTAGAACTTAGAATATCCAATTAATTGTGATTCCAAAATGAGAATATGCTATAGACTATAGAGGTTAATTAATACCACTGATTATAATAACATCCCATCTGAATTGCTTGCATTTTTTTTAATCATCATCTAAAGTTACAAACCCAATAATTGCTTACCTGTTTCAATTCGTTAATTGTTTAATTAATATACGATCTCCCTACTCCTAAGAAACAACAAAAAAAATATATTATACCAAATTTCCACCAACTATTAAAACTGAACCATGTATACTTAAAACTAAATAATAATAGTAACAAGTTGCATCACCTACGAAGCTTCAACTAGACAATTAGACAGGAAATTATGGTACGATGTACTCTCATGTTTTGTCCTTATTTTAAGTTTTAAACTAAATTAAGTAGTAACTTATGTTTTAAACGCAAGATGCGGAAGAAATACTTCTTTCTTTTGCCCTCCGATAGAATTTGTTACGGGACTTTGTTGGATTTATCAAAAAAAATTGTGAATTTCGGAGCAGGTTCGTAGCATTTCTTGATGTTCTTTTATACGTGTGTTTCTTAATGTTAGTGTTTGCATCTTATGGGGAAAAAAAATACACTTCCTCACTCTTGTCCATATAAATTTGTTTAACAATAGTTTATACTACCTCCGTCCCACAAAAGTAGTACACATTGAGTTTTCAAATTTGTACTAAAAACAATACAAAACTTAAAAACTCAATGTGGACTATTTCTTTGGGACGGAGGGAGTATTAGTTTTATGAGATGAATAAAGAAAATCACTCAATCACAATCAGATAACTGTTTATATCCATAAGAAAAACGGAAAAGAAAAAAAAAAAAAAAACCAAAAGAACCCTTCAAACAATGTCCTCGAATTCGATACATTCTTTGTGGAGTTCTAATCCAAAATGCGCACGAAATGATCCATACTTTGTAAGTAGGAGTATATCACATGAAGCATATTCCAGATGCTGAGTCATAGTCATACGTTAAAGTGACTGACTGGCCGCTTGACTGGGCTGTTGGCCTTTCCTTTTCAGGAAACCAGATAAAGTCCATTTTGATAATTTTCCAATCCCAAACTAACCTCTGAATGGAAACCAATCTCCTAGATCAATCTCTGATCAATTATTGTGTTAACTTATTCAGTGTTTCATCTGATGCAGATTGGTTTAGAGATTGATTTTATTGTTGAAAAGAAAAGGCGATTGGTACACAGAAAATGTATAGGCATTTGAAAGAAGGCTTCCATAACTTAAGCATGTGGTTCAACATACTTGGCATTCTCAATACCGAATCCATTTGACCATATGTAGTAGTATTGCAATATTACTTTTAGTTATATCCCGAGTATCCTTTCCTATTCGATAAGATAGAGGCGAAAGAGGCAGACATCTGGAGAATCAAGAGCCCGGTAATGTGCCTTCATACCTTACAACAATCCCACTGGAAGCTGCATTATTTTAGGCAGGAAGCCAGTTTCTACAGAGGCAGTGCACCTTGGCAAGAGAAGCCATGTAGTCGTCCGACCTACACAAAGATAAACAACTTAGACGCTTTTCCATTTCATGAATAACATCTTTCTCTCCAGTCTGAAAAATGAAAATTATGGGAACCATCATGGTTAAAGGCAACCACACCTGGCTCCATAAGGAGATTGACAAGCAGCTACAATATGATGCTTTGCGGCATCACTTTCATTCTGCGCATTGAGAAAATCGTGAGGTTTCAAAGGGCAAAGCAATAAACACTCCACCTCCATGGCGCGAATATGACCATGGGAAAAACTAAAGACTGATACACTGCACTATCTGAGATCACTCTAAAGATTAATACGTATATCTAGACTAGGTATAAACATGTATCAATGAATTTGCATCATCCAAAATTAATCTAAATGATTTTAGAATAGCCAACAACAACAAACCCAGTATACCCACTATATTCTAAATGATGTTGTTGTTGTTGTTGATTTTAGAATAGCCCACTGTCTGACATGATTCTAATTTGGAAAGAATGCCAGAATGACAGGAGTGAGATGCAGTTTTCGTGGAGAATTGTATTCCAACCTGGGATTCGTAATAAAGTCCAGCATAAAGAGAAGAATAGAAAACCTCGTTGTCACGTCCAGCAGAAAAAGCAGCGACAAGCTGTGTAAAAGAACACAGGTGAATCTGTTAAATGTCTCAGCACCTATGAGCAACAATTTCCTGATAGCAGATTACTAAAATTTTAGAGTTCACTGTTTCACTACTTCCACTTCACGAAACAAATGAAAGGGGATTCATTTTCAGCCAAAATACTAATTCCTCATCTATACATGTCGAAATAAATTCCTTAAATGAGGGCTGGAAGATGGGAAAGTCCCTGAGAAATCACACTCATAAAAGAAATACGGCAGGAACAAATAAAGAGCATGAAGTAGACAGCAAGTAAGTTGCAGGAGAAGAAAAATGCAAGGTAGCAACTATTTACAAGGGCCTGCGTTCCTAGTTACAGAGCTACCTTTTTCACAATATTAAATTATAGAGTTTATCAGTTTCAATTCCACTGGCTTCGAACTTAGTTGATTGATGGAACTGGCTACAGGAGTCTTCTTATTTACATCAACAGTTTGGCAGCATCACTCAAATTTTTCAGCGAAGTAATATTATAAAGTGGGCTACCAGTTACTTATGCCAGTGAACAGTGAGCAATCTAAGTGCAGGAAGCTACCTGATAAATGCACAGCATTCATTTTTATTTTATTTTTTTGTATGTATACTTAAGAAGCAAAGCGGCATAGGAACTGGTACTAGAAGGGATTTTCCCAAAGTGGGTGCTCCGTATGTAGGATTGTCACACTTGCACAACATTCATTACCCATTTCACGTATGCAAAATCAAACTATGACAAGAAAGCGAACTACTCTAACATAACATTGATTCGAACCTTTTCGGGGTCTCCACCATCTTTGAACATGTTATAGGCTTCTCGCATGAAAGGCCGAGGATCTCTACCAACCTGCATTTTGCAATATAAAAAGTTGAAAATTATCATATCTGCAATCTATTAAACTAGAATAAACATTTCATGCGCCCTTTGTGGCATCAGACAATATAATGGTTTCCCAATCAACCACGACAATCTATTTGGTCATCTCCATTCAAACAATTTACGACACTCATTAATGCTAATGCTTGCTTATTTACCTCAAGAAATTTCCTTCTTGCCTCATCTACTCCATATAATTGAGCTTCACAGAGAAAGCACCATATTGACTCCTCAGTGTCATTTGGGTTCTGTGCAACATCTAGCCTGAACTGCTCGGCTCCTTCCTCAAACCTAGGTACGTATTTCTAATTTCAGGGCAAAAATCAATTACAAGAACAGCAAATTTCCCACATGAAAGCATGCCAGTACCTATCAAGGTAGTACAATGAGAGTCCCCTCTGCCAAAGATCTGATTATCCAACACAAAAACTCCAAATTACAAAAAAATCAAAGTCTGTTTCATATTCGAATTCATCTAGACGGACAAATCACCAGTCTAGGACAATGCAACAGAAATTGAAAAGGCCAATTGCGACGCTAGGCGAAATAAATGAACTCAATAGTCCATCGATCACATTGTTATTCCACATAATAGTTAAAGAGGAAGAATGGAGAAGCTCACAGGCCTTCTGTCGAGGGTCAAGCTCAATTGCCTTATCAAACTCCACCAAAGACCCCAACACATCACCCTAACAATTAACAAAACAACAAACAATCATAGCTACTGAAAGCAAAGAGTTAATTTGGCAAGAAAGAAACGGATATCGAAATCAGAAAGCTACCTGTCTGAATAGAAGCATTCCACGCCGAATTGCCAGTACTGCTTCACGGGGTGAATTGGAACCGCCAGTTATGGCGTCCCACAACCCCGAAACTGAAGGCAGCAACAATTGTCTCCTTGACACTTGTACTAATGTCGGCAACATTGAAACTTTTGGGTCGTTAACATTCGAAAATCTTGCACCAAAAGAGGGATATACAATGTATGATGTGGAAAGAACAGAAGAACAGGGGAATTGGGCTGCGGAGTTTGGGATTGAAGGTTTACAGTGAAGCGTAAGTTCCATAAAAAAAATTCAAAATCAAACACTTTTGTGTTAAAGTGATGAAGTGACTACGAAAATTCTAAGACTTTCTTATTTGTTTATGGATTAGTAATGGGTGGAATTGAGCCCTGCAGACAGACTGCAGTGACTTAAGTATTTGACCACCACGATTCTAGTCCTAAGGATTACAGAAGCTTTTCTTATTCATTTATTCTTTCCGAGGCAAAGTTTGAATTAAAAATTAATAATATTCCATCCGTCACAAAATTATTTACCTGTTTATTGTAATAAGATCATAAAGGAGCAGGTTCTCAAATAGCGATTAAGAATACTGTTTTAGCAAGCAACCGTAGACAAGTACAATTGTACTCCACGATACTCAGAAGAAAAGTCTGAGTGCTGTTGCTCCTTGCTACCAGGATGTCTAAAAATGAAAATCACACTTAACCCAGTGACATTCTTCGTCCTTTCCTTTTTGAATACCAGAATACGAACACATAATTCTTGATTAGAATAAATCGAATTTCTAACCGACTCAAACTTTACTTCGAAATTAAAATAGATCTAACATTAAACAGCATTCGGCCATTCAGCAAAAGGGAGCTGAAAGAATGCACAAAATTCGGATGGAGTAAAATAACAGCAGCGGAGTATACCATAACAAAACAGCATTAAGAGTATTATCACAACATCACGAAAACTAAACATTTTTAAACTGATGATCCCACGACTTCAGTACAACCGCAGTAGTGAGCAGCTCAACTTGATCATTTCTTGGACTTCTTTGTTGCCCTGCAAGAAGGAAAGTTAACGCTGATTAGCAAGCAAAAGCAAAGGTGGGGAATATGGTCCATTATTTTCACTTAAACTGAGAAAGTGCTTACTGTTGGGTTGCTTGAGGGGCAGCCACAGGTGGTTCTTTCTCTTTAGGTCCCTGCAGATTGTCAAACAATGAGCAAATTCTAAAATGTAATAAAAAAGATGTATTTACAAAACTATTGAGCTCAAAGACCCCAAAAATTAATACGTCTACACAATATACATAGGTAATACAATTACAGGCAGTTCGGTCCCACTGAATAACAAACGCTAACATACGGCACAACGCACAGCTGAAGTATTTTAAATGAAATTCACAAACTGCACGAGTCACACTCAGAAGGATATACACAGGAACTTTGTTCAGGGCAAAAAAAAGAAAAAAAGAAAAAGGAAAAACCAAAATAAGCCTCCAGTATACGTAAGGATAGTTTTACCTGAGCAAAACGCTCTTCTCTCCTGGCTAATTTCCTTTCCCTGCTTGCCTTATTCTTGGCCCTCTTAGCCTCAAACTGATCAGACAATGTCTTTTCTCTCGCCTTCTCTGCCTTAGTCTTGTGGATGCTCTCCATTAGGACTCTCTTGTTCTTAAAGACATTACCCTTCACTTTCATGTACATGTCATGGTACATATGCTTATCAATCTTCTTGGCTTCCCTGTACTTACGAAGCAAGCGTCTAAGGACACGCATTCTCCTCATCCAAAGGACTTTGGTAGGAAGCCTGGCCTCCCTTGTACCCTTGCGTTTACCTAGAAAAGTAATAATTAGATTTCCAAACAAAAAAACCCTTTACATCAATTATAAACCCAGTGTAAGATAATGAAAACAACAGAGTTCTCCAGGACCTTTCTAATTAGTTCAGAAAGTTGAAAAGATACGAGATGATAACACAATGGGTGTCAAATTATTTCTATTGTAAACTACTTAAGCAGCTGCATCAATTCTTTGAGCAGAGTCTCATAGATTAGTGCAGAGTCTCATAGATTAGTGTGGTTTCAAACAGTAGGTTAAGTCACTACATAATATCTTCAAATTTCATTTAATCTCAACACTCAATACTCGAATAGAAAGAATTGTCCACCATTTGCGACTGATTATCATGCAGTTAACTTATAACACTTTGAATCCCAGTAATTGCAGATCGAAGACAACAAACATAGCCAAAAGGAAAAATGTGCAAAACAATTCACAAAAGAGCCCAGAAAAAATTACCATATCCAGAGTGACGCCCCTTTCTCTTGGCCTCCTTCATCCTGCGTGCACGAGAACGAGAATGAATCTTTGTAGGCTTCCTGATGATAAACCCATCCTTAACCAACTTCCGGATATTTTGCCCTGCATTTCAACACAGAAAAATCCCCCATCATTAAAAATTTAAGCCGAAAACGGATTCATCAATAACAAATCCAACCACCAGCAATAATCATCAAAACTAGATTAACCAATTACAGAACCCCAGACCCCCAAAAAAAAGACAGTTCTGAAATCGGGAAAATTCAAACAAACATAGAAGAAGTCTAATTGAAGAGATTGCTTAACTGGAATTGGCCATGGAGATTTCACTGACTTCATTGGGGTCGAGCCAGACCTTTTTCTTCCCGCACTTGAGAACGCTTGCGGAAATCCGCTTCTGGAGCTTCAGCGACACCATTTTCTGTTCTCTCCCACTTCTTCTCCCCGCCGTAGGAAAAATACCCCAAGGGTTTGGCTTTCTGTTATATCAAAACCCTAAAACCACCAAGGGCTTTTTCGTCCAGACGTGAGGCTGAGCTGAACATGATGGATTCCCTTGAGGTCCATACACAAAAGAAAATTTCCAAGCCCATTAGTCACTGGACCCCCAGAAGTCTTAAGGCCTTATTGGAGACGAGGGAACATGCAAAAACAACCTAATAATAATATAGAAGAAAATTCCCCAAATGGTTCAAAATACTCTAATACACTCTCTCGTCCCGAAATCACAAGTTTAGGGTATGTTTGTTTCGTTTTTTTAGTGTGTGTTTTTAAGTATTTTTTGTATTGAAAATATAAAAATGTGTATTAAAAATATAAAAAAAGTATGCTGGAATGGAACAATTATTATTTTATTAATCTAAAAAAACTAAACAAACAAAACAAAGCCTTATAGGGATAGGAAGTAGGTACCGGCACATAATATTTATGTTGATTTGTACAATTAAATATGGTATAGTAGGAGTTCTATTTCTTGGAAAAGACTTACCAGACTCGAAAACGAATAATGCTTTCAGATACAAAATGCATAAATGGTAATACGTCGCACACAAAAAAATACTACCTCCGTCTCAAAAAAATAGTCCATATTAAATTTTTAAATTTGTACTAAAAATAGTACAAAATTCAAACCTCAGTGTGGACTATTTTTGTGGGACGGAGGGAGTAATAAAAATTGTCGGATCACCTTAGCTTCCTTAAAGTGTTCTAGGCTTCTAGTCATACGTTCCCATGAGGTGTTTGGAATACGATTTGTGTTTTTAATTTAGGAAATGAATTATATTTTGTCTCAGTACTGAATAAACAGTGCATAATCATAAATGAAAAGGGACAACGTGATAAATAAGTTATTCTTATATATGTGCTTCAGAAGGGCCTCAAGTTCTTCGGAATTGGTCTTTTTTTGGGGGTTAAGGAAATGGTCGCCTGTTTTGTTTGCATGGCTTTCACTGATGTGAAAATACCCCTTTTAAAGAAATTTAAGGCCGTCGTCCATTATTAAATGTTCATGAACGTAAAATACTTTACGATAATAATATACGTGCATCCAGTTTGATATTCTATTCAAAGTTTTTTTTTTTTTTTGGTGCCCTTTGCTTTTTGGGAGAGAAGGGGTAACAAACGATTCTCGGATACCACGAACCAGAGCTCCCATGGTTTCTTGGCCCTCAACGTTGACCACTGGGCGAACAGAAGTTTCAAACATGTCCTTCACAAACTAAAAGTTGGTCGTGAGCTTAAATCTAAAGTAAATATCATTAGACCTCATGTCCTGGTTCAGTTCATTTCAACTTTTTTTTTTTTTTTGAAAACCTCATTTTACCTTTTCAATTTTATATGCTTCTTTGATCTCATACAACAAAAAATTTTCTGGTTCAAGAAATTTATTTCACCAATGATTCTGTATGCCATGTTCTATCGATTTAGGTTTGGTTCAAGTTCGAAAGACACCAAACTGATGCATTGTTACGTTATAGATCCAATATTTATTTTACTAAAATATTTTAAAATATGTGGAGGATTGTTGACGTTTTCACTTTATTTATTTTAAAAGATTAGATTTGTTGCCTTAAGTCCTGTTGAGTTTATTAACCCTTAAAAGCTTATCTTAAGTATTTTACACTAATACTTTGGTTTGTGATTTTTGGGTGAAATTAATGCTTATTAATTTAGCCAGCAAAACTAAGATTGCATCCTTAGATTTTGTGCTATAAATACTACGTAGCAAAGCTTCATCTAGACACACCAAAAACAGAGAAAAAATTTCTTTTCTCACTTTTCTAAAATCCCAAAAGTCCCTCAAGCAAGCTTTCTCTAAAATCTTTTTTTTTTCTACTTTCAATCTTACTTAAATATTGGATTTATATATTTGTTAGTTCATGTACCCTCTAAATTCAAAAGAAAAAAGTTTATTTTATCTTGGGGGAACATTTCGTTACATCAAAAATAGTTTCTTTAAGACAGTGCAATTTCCACGACTCAAGTTTTATATTTGTTCATTCATTTAGCATTTTTGGAGCATTACCCCCAACATATTAAGCGGACACATACAATAGCAAAACAAAACAAAACTCCAACCATTTTTTTTTTCATCCGACTTTGGTCATGTCTCTTTCGGGTATAAGATTGCAAATCAACTTGGGATTGTACGTTGTTTGTTAAAGGTGTTTGGGTTATTGCAAATAAAATTGGGCCAACCATGAACCAACTTGTGATTTTTGTTCATAATATCAAGTATTTCACTTTTTTGATTTTTTTGTGTTAGTTTCGTTCAACTACGAACAAGATGACATCCATTAAAAATCAAATCAGAGTTCAACCCGTATTTGTTATGACTGTTTGCTAGTCAACAAAGAGGAACCAAACTGACAAACAGACAACGGTCTTATATAAACTGGCACCTTGCATGCGCTTTTTTAGTACCTGGAAACTTCCCTTCAAGAATCAAATCATTCTTCAGCATCCAAATATAAGAAGACCAAATCGCCCTGTATCTTAATCATCCCCTCTTTTTTCTTGGTGGAATTGAATCAGAAAAACTATGGAAGAATTGGTATCCTTTGATGTATTGCCTGAAGATTGCGTTTCCGCAATATGCTCCCTTACCTCTCCTCAGGACGCCTGCCGGATATCTCTGGTGTCGTCGAGTTTCCGATCAGCCGCCGATTCCGATATGGCGTGGGACAGATTCTTGCCATTTGATTGGGAAGATATTATGAAAAGGGCAGTCATCCCTTTGAAGTTCTCGTCAAAGAAAGAGATGTTTTTGCAGTTATGTCATCCCATACTCTTAGATGGTGGTAAACAGGTTAGCTTGTTTTGTCTAAAATTTTCAGCATCTTTTCCGAATCCTTGTTTTTTTTTTTTGTTTCCATTTCCATAATTCCTTTGATTTTAGTTCAACGTTTTAAGTTCTTGCATTTAGGCGTGCTAAAATTTTAAAGAAACAGATTATCATCATCGAACAGCCATTGACTTTGAAAAGTAGTAGTGTACAAGTATAAGTCCCCTGTTTTCTTGACTGAAACAGAGCAACTTGTTGGCTATGATGATGAATCTCTGTTTCAAAACACCAGCATTGACTTTGAAATTAAAGTATTCCTTTAGAATTTAAGGAGGTACAATATCATTATGCGGCTCTTCAGACATTTTTTTAAGGATAAAATAATAAACATACAAATCAAAGACGCCAAATGGTTTATTAGGTGTCTTAATCATAGAAGTCAATGAAGGCTCGACTGTGCACATTTAAATTATCTGCTCATTTTGGTCAATGATTCTTTCTTTTTTTTTTTTTTCAAACATATTCAGATTATTGCTTTGGAAAAGTCAACTGGTCTCAAGTCCTACACACTTTCTGCAAGAGAACTTACAATTCTACATTCCAACGAGTCAAATAACTGGTGCTGGAAACCAAAGCCAGAGTCGAGGTAACTAAATTGATGATTTCTATTAGTTCGATACTCTTTTTCCCTCTTAGAATTGTTTCATTTTTGGGATCAAAATATTGGATTTTGATTTGGGATTTATAATCTCCTTAGATTTGCCGAGGTGGCTGAGCTCAAAACATCCAACAGGATTGAGATTGAAGCCAAAATTAAAAGCCAAATGTTGTCACCAAACACAAAGTATGGTGCTTATCTCATCATACAAACTTCTGAAAACTCATTCGGGCTTGATTCCATCCCATCTGAAGTTACCATCGTCATAGCTGACAATGTGATTGAAAACACAGCATATTTGAGTCCGAAATGCGAAACGAAGCAGCAAATTGAGAGCCTGTTTTATGCTAATCGCGCCCGGATGATGAAAATGAGGGTGGAAAATGGCGGCGATGATAGATTTCCGATGGCAAGAAGTGATGGGTGGGCGGAGATTGAGATAGGAGAGTTCTTCAATGGTAATGAAATTGATCAGGACATTAGGATGAGTTTGAGAGAAACTAAGGGTCACCAGCTCAAGGGAGGGCTTACTGTAGAAGGCATTGAAATTAGGCCTAAAAACTAACATGTATTTTTTTTTATATTGCGCAACAGATATCCAAAATCATTGTTTAGACTTCTTTTATTTTATTGTTGATTCATTCAATTTACGTACTGTAACTTTCTTCCACTTAACAATTTGGCATGTTTTAGCATTTTTTTAGTTTTTAAAACCTTTTTATAGATATTCCATTTCTTCTTCATACGTTTTTATGGTTTTTTTTTTCTAATTTCTCCTCCCTATGATTATTTGTTTTGCCTTTCAATTGTTTTGAAAAGATTCAAATATTTTTCATGAAGTTTCATGTTTTCTTAAAAATAATTTTTCTATTGTAATAATCATCGGCACTAATGAAATCAATATGCACAGATGATACATCCAAAGTTTTTTTTTTTTTATTTTTTATGTCAAAGCAGTGAAAAAGATATATACATATCATTGTTCCTTCTCAGCTACTGCATCTCTAAGAAGCTACATTATGATGATTACAATAATATTGTGAATGTGGTGATTTCCTTTCCATATTTCAACTTCAATATCAATCCGTTAATACTTGTAATGTGGTAATTCACATAGATCAAAAGCATACAATAAGTAATGAAAATGTAATATTTTGTGTACGTGCGAAACGCGTCCTCTGTCCCAAAATTATTGTCCAATTTAGATTTTTACAGTTAGTTCAATTTGTACGAAAAATGAAAACTCAAATCATAAAATAATTTTGGGATGGAGGAAATAGTTCTTTTAGGCATGATAAATGAAAGTAGAGATATTCATCATCTAATATTAGATTTTTTTTTATTCTTTTTTTTCCTCGGAGTTACTTTATTTTCTTTAAAAAAAAAAATTCTCTTGTGATCAAAAGTGAAAGTTTTTTCTTTAATACAATCTGAAGGTAGTCAACATTAGTGTCCTTGCAACGTCTAATTCTATATATTTATCTTTTTGTTAATTTGCAATTGTTTAGTATTCGCGCGTCGAATATAACTAGTATTTCTTTATTTTTGGATACTTTCTTTGTCATACTAATTAAGCACATGAACTTGTTCCTTGTTGCACTAATACATGTAAGTCGAATCATTTGTTTTAGGGTTACAAACCTTAAGATATTGTCTCCTCGCCTTCAAATCTTCCATCCCCTTTTGGTCCGAATTTTTGTGGTCCACACTTCTTCGTTTTGGTGTATTTTTAATTATAATTTGAAATTTTATATGTTTTTCAGAGATCTCAAATGTTTTGGACTTTTACAATTTTAATAAGCTTTTTCAATATTGTGCTCTCTAAGAAGAATAATTCTAAGAAACGATGATCATTACGTTGATTTGGATCATAGAATGATTCTTTTGAATCATTTTTATGTTGCTATCATAAATGACAGTAGAAGGTTAAATTCCAAAACAAAAATTGAAGAAATTTCAGCGAGCTTTTGTGACCATTTTGTTGCCCTAGTTTATGTTGACATTCAAGTTGACGTGTTTATATCGATTTCGAGGTTGAATTTTAGTTGAGTAATTTTTTTAAGGTATTAAAACTCTTAAAATATTTTCTTTGCTTTCAATTCTACTATCCTAATTTATCTTAATCTTTTTCTTTTTCCTACTTTCAATTCTCGGCAGTTTGCTTGAATTTTTAAAATCTTGACAGTTGTTTGGAGATCTCAAACATGTTGAACCTTTAAAAATTCAATGTGCTTCCATAGAATTGTGTGTTTTGAAGAAACCTCACTTAAAAGCATGATGATCATTGTATTTATTTGGATTATATATTAATTGGTTTGAATCGAAGATGATGAAAAGCTGATTCCCCAAATAAAAATAAAGAAAATTCAGCCAGGTTTCGTCTACCTTTCCGTGGATTTATTCGAAGTCGACGATAGTATGTCGATTTTCTTATCAACATATCCATATCGACACCAAAAGTCAACAATAAAAATCTTTTTTTTTTTTTTTTACACTTTTCCTATTTATATTTGATTTTCAAGTATAGGAGTTTTCAAAGGTTGTTTTTGGGCCTTGCACCTATTTATTACTTATTTTAGAGTATTTTAGTACTTATTACTAGAGAGTTATGACATGTATTTAACCTTAGGTTCTTATTTGTTTAAGAAAATTTAAAAGTTTTAGTCCAAAACCAAGTTTGTAATTAGTGTTTGGGCATTTTTTCTAGACCATAAAATTAGAACCAACCAAACCATGTATTATTGAATTTTTTTTAAGGATTTAACTTCATCACTTAAACTTGTTATATAATACCCAACATTCCATTTGATTGCAAACAAGTACCTGCATGACAAAAAAATATTTTTTCAGATTTATCGTGTTAGCTTGATTGTTATAAAATATTTTTAAGATTTTTTATCATTAAAAATACGCACCAGGTGAAATCTAGGACAAATCAAAATGCCTTATATTAAGGACCGAAGGGAGAACAATTTCACTGATTATTGTAAGAATTCTTACACCATGTAATATTTGGTTTTGTGAGTCAAAATGTAATTTAATTGAGTTTGACCTATTTAATTTTATTACACTTTTATCATATAAAACCAACGTGGATGATACAAAATGATGATGTGGAAATTGCATTAGATGTCTAATAGTATAAAACATAGTGGATGCTTTAAAAATAACATATTAGCTCACAAATTTTATTATTTTATAGTCTAAGAATTCTTATACTGTCACAAACTATTATATTCTATGTAATGATAGAGAGTGTAATTAGATGGTAACTTACTTATTATTTACCATCACTAAAAATGCACCAAGTCACAAAGTTCTATTCATATCTAATTTAGTCTCAAATGTTTGGGACACTTGACACCGAAAATGTAAACAATTTTGATTTTCCATTCAAATAGGAAGATATGTGATCTTAATTTGGGATTACATTCGTTCGTAAAGTACAATGTATTAAACAATGCTTCGGACAATATCACAACAACATTTGATAGGTTACACACTAAGTGATATAAAACTCGATCATGCTGAGGCTAGCTAGGATTCCACCCTTCTTATAAAAATTAGGATGAATGGAATCAAAAGAAGAAAGCAAGTCGAGAAGCGTAGTTAGATACATAAACATGCAAGAATTTCACACACACACACACACACACACACACACACACACACACACACACACACATATATATATATTCATCGTTTAAATTTCACGAAACTTGGAGAGGAGGTTTAAAGCCCAATATTGAAATAATGGAAAATATAAACTAACGTATTAGTATCAACCAACATATATCTTTTATACCAATGATAGCAAAAAACTAAAAAGATAAATAATGAAGTAACAAGGACATGCTGGTGATGATGAAGGCAACATGTTTGGGATGTGAAATTAAGAAATAACAAATATTTTTACTGGATATTTAGTAATTTGAAGAATCCAAGCTACTGTGAATTTATTTTGTACGAATCCATAGACAAAGATATTGAGAACGGGAAATGAAGGATTCTCTTACAAGATTGATGAGAATCATAGAAGACCTGGAAGAAAAACAAACAAAATAACAAAATGGACTGACTATGAATTTGACATTACTGTGGCAAGTTTTCAGGTATATTCCATTAGGGAGAACTGCTAGAGTCAATTCAACAACAATCGCACAAGTCATCAGCTTAAGCGAAGCCGTCACTTCTTTGGCTTTCTCCGTAAGCTCATTGTCCATACACCTAAACCCTGGAAAATTTGACATCAATAATTCCAACATGGAGTCTAAGTCTTTGATTGTCTTATTTTGACGATCTATATCCAACTTAAGACAACTATAATCATCAAGCCCGGTTCTTACTAGACTAAACGCCATTGCTCCCCAAAGAAAAGTGGCAACAATTACAAGAGAAAATTCAAATTTATCACAAATTTGATCCTTGATAAGAAACCAGCTAAAAATAAGCCTAAACCACGCCAATAAGTTCTTAATCAAGTTTAGCATGTCCATGACATCTACCCTATTCTATAAAAAATCATAGTAATAGTTGTCTAACTCGCATAAAGACTCAGTAATGATATATAGAAAAAAATGGATTCCACAAATCGTAATTCATGATATCTAGATACAATACATTGCATAACCAATCGTTCTTGAGAAATATATAAAATCTAACCAACATATTTACAATATTATAACTATATGCATCCGTAAAATCTTGAATAATTATATTTGTTCTTGTGTTTGTCCCATCCTCTGACTAAAAGCAATTAAATTTGGAAAATAAGAGGCGGGCTTATGTAAGTGTTCTAGGGTTTTGAAACTATTAATTTATTAATATAATCATAAAACATAGATATTTTAATATACAATTCAAGGATGTGACTTTTTTTTCAATGAAATAATAATCACACCAAGAATAATGATACTAATATGAGAAATAGTAAGTCAGTCCATCAGATCTTAAGTTTTCGCCACTGTTCATTGCATGTCATTCGGCCTAACACTAACATGAGGTGGTATTATCATGTGAGACTATCTAATGTGACTCTTTTGCTGTCTAGCCAGTTGATCTTGCCCGATGTTGACCTCACTAGACTTGGATAGTTAATAGAGTTGGTATTAAGTCATGTAAAGATAACTCGATATGCCTACGTTCTGTAGTAACAAAATTTTTAAACACTATTTTCCATATAGAATGAGTTGAAGTTTTCTAGATAAAATAAATAAATAAATAAATTGAAATGTCGTGAGGGAGACTAAGATCTCAAGTAAAGATGCCTCTATTTGAATATGGTCGCGACCCGTGAATCTCTGACTGATACCAATAAAAGCAATTAGGTAATTTTAGTTTTGAATTGTTTTTCCAAAATGTTTTGAATTTCTATAATATTGTAATGTTCGGTTTTGATAATATCAAAGAGAATATAAAGTAAACTAAAAAATCTACGGCAATTTTGAAAATTGGAATTCCAAGCACTTGAATAATCCGTTTTTAGAAGAACCGAGATTAGTATTTGTTTTGGACATTTTACCTCAAAATCCAAAAGGAATGTTTTTTTTTTTTTTTTAATGATATCAAGACTAACATATTATTGTAACCATCAAAGATCAAACCTTTCCAAGGCTTACGATTCATCCTCGATGAGTTGGATTGAATAAATACGATTAATAAATTACCAACAGCATCACATCCTAAAATACTCCAATAAGTTGAAGATTAATTAACAAACATTCATATAATCTAAAGGAACATAGTATTAGACAGAATAAACCATATATACGCATTTCACAAAATGAAAGGATTCAAGTACAAGACAAATATCACAACCACTTGGAGATAATATTGCTTCCACGGTGTATTAAACCAACCCATGAAATGTAAAGAAAGCACAAATCTTGCTTCCACAGTTTTATAAACCCCGTTTAAAGAAATCGTAGTAAATCTCACACCTAAGTGTTTGAGAGTTTCTTTGACTCGAGATATTCCGGCGATGGGTTATTAAACGCTTAATTAGTTGATGTATGCATGTTAAGGACTAAACCTACATTTGTTTTTGTAAGGATTAAAAAGATTGTTTGGTGCAATATATAAAGACCTAAAAACGGGCTTTATTTGCTCATTGTTTGAATAGAAAAGATAGAACTATAACTCTATAAGAACCTCTCCCTCTCATTCTCTCCCTTTTGCTATTTTTAAACAAAATCCTACAAGTCATCTTAAAATGACTTTGCTCCATTTTATCTTTTCATTCGCCTTTTGTGTTGGAAGAAGGTTCTTGGTTCATTTTGTAGTTTTAGTTGCTTAATTGTGCTGAACTCCGATATGCGAAAAAATAATAACAGTGATACTAAATAAATAAATAAAAGTGTAGATGTAATTGAGCTTTGTAGGCGAGTTAGAGATATCAGCAATCCATCTGAAAAATATGAAATGATTCCTTGAGTGTGACTGCAGCAAATCAATATTGAAAGAAACCCCACGTTAGGAAAAGTAAAAAGTCGCAGACTTGTTTTTTTTTTTTCTTTTCTTTTCTTTTCTTTTTTTTTTTTTTTTTTTTTTTTGGGGTTTAAAACATCACATTACTAACTTTTTTTCCCCCTACTATTGATGCTATTTCAATAGAAGTTGCCAAAGTGATGATTAGGCACATAATCCACCATTCTCTATACCTTAAAACCATATTAATTACCAGAAGATTAAATAGGGTTAGTTAATGTGTGCATGTTTCCTGTAGTGACCATAGTTCTTTAACTTTGTTCATAGCTAATTTGTTGTTATTTTGACAAGAAACGACATGAAGGTGGCTCGTAGATCGGCGGCGATGACGACGACAACGGTGGCGGTTGCTTTGCTTGTTTTATTGGTAGGCGACTTTACTAATGGCGAAGATGCTTACAGGTTTTATACATGGCGTATTTCATATGGCGATATTTATCCACTGGGACTCAAGCAACAGGTACTTACTTAATCAAGTAGCCCTTTATTTCATCTGAGGTGAACATTTTTAATTCATCAAATCAATCATTAGTTGAGGAAAAGATTTTGTTGAAACGGCACACAATGGCAGGGCATATTGATAAATGGGAAGTTTCCGGGACCTGTAATTGAGACTGTGACCAACGAGAATTTGATCATCAATGTAATTAACAATTTGGATGAACCATTTCTTATTACTTGGTTAGTGATCTACTTTACCACTTTCTAAATGAGCCATTTTCGCCCTTCGTTTTTATTCAGATTTTCAGACATTTTTTTTGATCTTCTTATTAGGAATGGGATAGAGCAAAGGAGGAATTCATGGCAAGATGGAGTATGGGGAACAAATTGTCCAATTCCACCTGGGAGGAACTTCACTTATGCTCTGCAAGTTAAGGATCAGATTGGTAGCTATTACTACTTTCCCTCCCTGGCTTTCCATAAGGCTGCCGGAGGCTATGGCGGCATCAATATCGCTAGCCGTTCCGTCATTCCTGTTCCTTTTCCTCCACCTGCCGGAGACTACACTATTCTTGTCGGAGACTGGTTCAAACAGAGCCACAAGGTGATCATAGTGATTTTAGTACTTTTGTTACTTTCTTTACTTTTGTAGTTTTGCAGTTAGATTTAAATTGTCACATAAAGTATTTCTGTTTCCTGCCCGGAAAATCAAAATAGAAACTAGCTAGGCGTCATTATTTCAACAAAACCAACTATTTTTTCCGAAAGGGATTCGACTAATTCTCAACATTAAGTATTGAATTCTGTACTCTGCATTGAAGGATCTAAAAGCCATTTTGGACAGTGGCCATAATCTTCCATTTCCAGATGGACTTCTGATCAATGGACGTGGCACAAATGGTTACATTTTCACAGTAGAGCATGGTAACTATCCAATCCAATCCAATCCAATTCAATTCATGAATCGAGAAACTGATTCTTAATTCCACAACAATTCAATTCCATTGCAGGATTGACTTACAGGTTCAGGATATCAAACGTGGGAATGACAACTTCGATTAATTTCAGAATCCAGGGCCATAAAATGCTGCTAGTTGAGGTTGAAGGGAGCCATACATTACAAAACACGTACGACTCGATCGATGTGCACTTGGGTCAATCTTACTCTGTGTTAGTAAAAGCTGATCAATCTCCACAAGATTACTACGTTGTCGCCACAACCCGATTTACGACACAAGTTCTCAGGGCTACTTCGGTTCTTCGATACAGCAATTCCTTGAAAAGTGTTTCTGGTCCTCCTCCTGTTGGACCGACAACAGAAACTGATTGGTCACTTAATCAGGCCAGATCACTGAGGTAAACAAGTTAAAATTGCCCTGTTTCTCAAACCACATTTTTGACAGAGCACATGACCCAATGATGCAATTTAACATATGATCTTTGGTTAGGCGAAACTTGACGGCCAGCGGACCAAGGCCGAATCCACAGGGTTCATATCACTATGGATTGATCAAAACAACACGGACGATAATACTAGCAAACTCTGCCCCGATTATCGACGGAAAACAGAGATACGCTGTTAACGGTGTCTCCTTCATTCCAGCAGAAACACCCCTTAAACTGGCGGATTACTTCAACATTCCAGGGATTTTCAGTCTTGGCAGTATTCCTTATAGTCCTAATGATGCCGCTCATCCTCATCTCCAGACTGCCGTGATGGCGGCTGAATATCGCGGTTTTGCTGAGATTGTTTTCGTGAATTCTGAAGATACACTTCAGTCATGGCATATTGATGGACACCATTTCTTTGTTGTCGGGTAACAAAACACTTTTCCGCTTCTAACTCCTCTGTTTCTTTACAGGCATTCTTTGCTTATAGATTTCAAATTTTGGTACTATTTCTTTCTGTAAAACTTAGTTGTGTTAATATCACTTTAGCCAAGTATATGTACTCACTCAACATGAACAAATTCTGGCCATATATAATCCAATAGGATGGATAAAGGGCAATGGAATGCTGCAAGCAGATTTTCTTACAACCTCCGTGACACGATATCACGTTCTTCTGTTCAGGTAGAAATTCGTTAACCGGGTATCTGATTATCTGTCACACTTATAATGTACCAATCGTATTTTAATTATCGACGCAAAATTTCATTAGTTTCTTCTATTATGTTAGTCGTGTTAAAGTTCAACATTGCACTAAATGAACAGGTATATCCGAAGTCGTGGACCGCAGTTTACATGCCTCTGGACAATGCCGGGATGTGGAATGTAAGGTCTGAAGATTGGGTACGTCAATATTTGGGACAACAATTCTACCTTCGAATAGTTCCACCTGGGAATTCGATGAGAGATGAAAATCCAATCCCTAGCAATGTTCTTCTTTGTGGTGGAGCGTTAGGCCATAGAAAACACCATGTATAAGTTTTAAGGGTAGGAATGAATCACTGTCCAATTCCAGCTGATTTTTTTTTTTTTTTTTTTTTGAGGTTTTTCCTTTTAGTTGCAATTTTTATATTGTCACGTGGAAAAACTTTCAACCACAGGCATTTTTTTTTCTCTTGTTGATTGTTATTGATGAAGATCAATTGAAAACGGAGAATTCGAATAGTGATAGAAAAAGTAGTTCTCCATTGACAGTTGACATTTGCTATTATTGTCCCATGACAGTTCCCATTCCGTAAGTTGACTGAAAGAATGCAATTTGAAAGGGACATTCATGATTTTTATCAACCCAGATCCAGAGGGATTTTTTTGCATGAGTTCAACATGATGTGAAGTCAATTACTTGTTATCCTAGGAATGTACGTAACTTGTTGAAGTAAATTATCACTTGATAAAATCAAACGTAAATGGTGTCCAAATTAGTACGACATACTATATAGTATCCAAATTTTTGCCGTGACACTTTTTATATACTACATTTGTTGTGGTATGTGTTTAATTATTTACTTTATGAAAGATTTTATACCTATAGATTACTAGTAGGTGTACAATATTCCTGAATCTTGTACAACTAGTGAGGCCAAATACCTCATTCGCTTTACCTACTTTGTTATATGAAGGCTCGTTTACTAGTTTCATAGGGTGTTAGTATGAATCGTTTTAAAGAAAACAGGTATAAGTATTTAGGTAATGTTAGTATATCTCACTCCCTCGTTCCACAAAAATAGTCCATATTGAGTTTTGAGTTTTATAATGTTTTTAGAACAAATTTGAAAATTCAATATGACTATTTTTTTTAGGACGGAGGTAGTAGTTATCATGAAACAAAAATATAAAACAAATCAAGTCCAATCCCCATATTTTTACCTACCCGATCTAAAGTTGCTGTTGCCAGGGGAGGAGTTTATTAGGCTGGCGGCCAAACCATCTTCCCAAACATTGTGGTTATATTTCTTCCTTTCCTTATTCTGTTCTTTCCTTTCTTCAATTTTGGAATCATGAACTTCTCACTTTCTATAAATAGTGTCTTAATTACACAAAATATGTTACCACGTCAGCCACAAGGCCAAACTGTGACACTACAAAGATCCCACGTACACACTTAGTATTAGTAGTTAATAAAAATTGTTAAACATCTGTCAAACATCAAATTAATAAAAGTACAAAAAATTGATTCCGCCAACTACGTAACATGAAATTTCAATGACGACCCCAAAAAAAAAAAAAGAAAATGAAAATCTCGTTGTCTCTCTTATGTCCTAAGTATGTGGTCGGGATGTCGTCATTTAGTCACCATCTTCTGCCAGACAAAAAAAAAAATGAAAACGTTAAACAACTCTCATTCCTATCAACTGTTTATAAAGGGATCATTTCGTCTGTTAAATATCCTGGAGTTTCAACAAATTATTAGATTATTATAGAGATATCTCAAGAAGAAAAATCATGAAATTGGAAGCATTGCCGGAAGAATGTATAGTTCAAATCTTGTCTTTCACGTCGCCTAAAGAAGCTTGCCAACTCTCAACCGTGTCAACCATCGTACGTGATGCAGCGGATTCTGAAGTCTTGTGGGAGAAATTCTTGCCGTCCGATTACCGGGATATTCTTTCCCGGCTGGTTTTCCCGTTGGAGTTCAAATCCAAAAAGGATTTGTTTCTTCAGCTTTGTCAACCTCTTCTCATCGATGGTGGTAAAAGGTATCCCCCAAAAAAAAAAAAAAAAACTTAAAAACGTCGACATCACGAATTATTATATCATCAAATTTGCTAACCCTTCATTTTGCAAATCATGGCATGTGTTTTTCAATTTGTTATTGCGTCGATCTAAGTTAGTCAAATGCTGGGACTAGGCCGGAATTTTGATAGACCGAAATATATTAGTGTCGTCATTTTGTTGGCATATATTTAGCTTATTTTGTACTGTCACTTTCTATTTTCATTCGAAATGTATCATTCTTTTTATGATTATAATAATTTCACCAATTACCGTGACAGCGATGGCGTAGCATTTTTTACCACTGAAATATTTTTTTTTCCCCACACTTTTTATTTTTATTTTTTAATGGGGGAATAGCATTTTGTGTGTAAAACTTGTACAAGTAATCTAGCTTTGGATCGAGCCCTAAAATTATCCTAGCACAAAGAAGATGTTTCATTAATTTACTGAAATTCTTATGCATCTCATTCGTCATTTTACTTCAAGAAACAAGCATTGTATGTTTGGCAAGTTCGCTGCCTTATAATTAATGAATAATCCATCTTCCTATATATTACCGCTCTTATGTCCCAAAAATAATCATTCTCTTTGTTGTATATATTAAGACGGTACAAAAAATTGAACAATATTTCATAGACAGGGAAGCATTAATTAATTTATTCAGATACCCTTTTGCAATTTCTTAAATGTTCCCGGATACTAAATTTGAACCTTGAATTTTCAATGCAGACATTTTACATCGATAAATATATCAACAAAAAGTGTTTCATGCTGAGTGCAAGGGACCTTAACATCACCTGGTCAAGCAACACTCTCTATTGGTGCTGGAAGCCATTTCAACCATCAAGGTAATTAAAATGGGATTCTTCTTTTCCCAATTACTAATAATAATTCCTCTTTCTACAAATTTTTGTACCTTAAAGGTAAGAGTCCATATTTACATCTTTTCACTGGTATCACATCATTCACTGAATCATTTTTCGACCAGATTTCCCGAAGTCGTGGAGCTTATAATGGTGACATGGCTAGACATCCATGGAAAGATCAACACCAAAATGCTATCTCCTCACACCAAATACGGAGCCTACCTAGTGATCAAACTCGCGGATCGCGCTCATGGATTACATTCATTTCCATCGGAGGTTTCAATCGAAGCCGGCGACTACAAATCGCGCGGCTCGACTCGTCTGAGGCACAAAGGCCTCAACAACATTGGATGTAGCATTTGCTGTGGATGCATATTGCATTCTTCAAATCAACCCATAAATCCGGCGTTTTGTAGGGGAAAAGAAAGGATTCTCAATGAAAGGAAAGATGGATGGTTGGAATTGGAGTTGGGCGAATTTTACCATGATGGAAATGAGAAGGAAGTCAAAATGTGCTTAAAAGAGATTTATGGCCAACATATTAAAGGGGGATTAATTGTTGAGGGCATAGAGCTCAGACCCGTAGTATAAGAAATTTGATATAGGGTCATTTTTTTGGGTGTAATTTGAAAGTTGTGTTTTTTTTCCCCTTCCCATTTTCTTAATCAAATTTTCAATTAGTGATTTTGTGAAGAAAAGACTCTTATTATGAGATTAGTGCAGCAAATTCATATGGTTGGAGGAAAGAAACGAATTACTAGAATCACGACTTTAATTACGATATATATAATTGTCATTTCATTAATTAAAACACAAATACTACTGCCAGTATCAACAACCTCCAAGCATGAAATTTTTGAAAAGATATACATTTAGCCATTTAGGGTCCTTTTCAATGACCAGAAGAGATATTTCCCCGTTTAGTAACTCGTGGTTTAGCTCATATGCAAAATCTATGACGGATGAGCGACCTCTTGGTAGTGCTCACAGAATTCTTTGTTCAATTGTTGGTGCATATTTTTCTTTTTTAAAACAAACAAATAAATAAATAAATGATCTCAGCGATATAAGAGATCCTTCGACGGTTCGACCTCATGATGGTTATTTTTGAACCCATCGATCTTCCTTAGAAAACATTGAGGGAAAGCTATTTTTGAAAATACTATGAAATTTATTTCAAAGTACATATATTCCATACTTCTGCAATGAAAGAGCAATTAATAAATAATAAAAATATTTGTCATCGAATTCAGAATTTCTTCTTGATCGTAACAAAAAGAATACTCCCTCCGGTCATTATTATAAGATATTTTGATTTGTCCTAAATTTCACATAGTATGTTTTTTCGATTGAAGAAAAAACCTTAAAAGTAAATTTTTACATTTGTGTTCTTCTAATTATTAAAAAATATTTTTAAGGTGATTTTTCGATTGAAGAAAAAACCTTAAAAATACATTTTCACATTTATGTTCTCTTAACTATCAAAAAATATTTTAAATTTTTTTCAATTAAAAAAACATAATAAGTGAAATTTAGGACAAATTAAAATATGAGAACACGAGAAATTAGTAGAAAGGTGTTGCGAAAGAAAATGTGGAGTGGACAAATTGGGAAACCTGATACAATGGGCTAAATTCTGACATCAGGCCTAAGAGATACTCCAACAACACTTGATTGGGCCTACAAGCTTCGAATCCAAGAAACAACCGTCGTCAAAGTAAACCCTAGCCCATCATCATCTCTTTCTTGTAGGAGCTATAAAATCTCCCTTTACAGGCGTTGTTCTTCCCCTGACTCCTCAGCGATGTTTATTTTATAATTGCCCTTCTTCCAGTTTTGCAGTTTGTTCTTTTATTCCGGTTGATTTGAGATCAGTTTTGTTCTTGATTTAATTTTGTTTTCGACGCAGTGATGATTAGTGTTAATCCCAGCTCATTATGAGATCTTCTGGCCTAAAAAACCAGAAGGTCCAGGAATGGATTTCCCTTTAACACCTATCTGAGCTTCTACTGCTTTCTTCTTTTCAGTCGTTTGATATCATCCAGTTCTTGGTTTTTTATTTTCATTGGCTTGGGTTTTTCTTCTGTTTTTTTTTTTTTTTTTTTTCCTTTTCGGTTTCGTAAATTTTCGCCTGTTGTTGTGTTGGTATTTTGTTTCTTTTTTTTTTTTTGGTTCCCAGTGATGCTTTTTATCTATTGAAACCATGCTAATTCTGAATGAATTTTGATTGAGATCTTCATTACATTTTTCTGAGGGAACAATTAATTAACAACCCCCCCCCCCGCTTAATGAAGCTTTTATCAGATTTGAACCTGTTTTCTTTTTCCAGTAGAGAAATCCCTTTCTCATACGGCTGATTGGTACTATTGAACAGTCGACACATTTCGATCTTCTATATTTTTTACTAAAGTTGGTTGCTAAATTGGCTTTCAAGACTAAAATATGGCCGACTCTTTACACAGTGATCTGGGCCGTTGGAAATATGCCACTTTTGATTAGATTTGGGTCCATCACTAAAATATCTATATTGGAAATATTGTTACACTTACACGTGCACTCTCCTTCCATTCCAAAATATATAAAGTTTAAAGAGACAATAAATATTTGATTAACATACTAAACTATTCTTATTATTCTTAATACAAGTTTATTTTCAATATCATTAGTTCTAATATATTTTTACTTTAAATATAATTACAATTCCTCATGTAGAGGAAATGTTGGAAGAAATTAACAAAATATGTCTTGATATGCGAAAACAACATATATTTTAAAAATAATTGGTTTTCTTCCAACTACATGTATTTTGAAATAGAGTGAGTAGTAAATTTTAGCTTTGGAATACCTTTAGAATTGGCTGAAATTGCTCAGATGCAAAGTTTTGCATGGACTGGCAAGAGTCCTGAATTGAAACAAAAAACATGTACTATATGTTAGTAGCTAGAGTTTCTCTTTAGGGGGGGTCTTTCTGAGCGTAGGGTTTTCGAAAGTAGGGTTCGTATGTCAGTAGGGTTTTTCAGCCAAAACTCCACCAAAAACTCCATAGCAGACACCCATATTCCTCCTTTTTCAGGCCAATTTGCCTTCTTTTATACACGATCCAAGCACATCTTCACACACTTTTGCAGTCTGTTTTGAAAATTAACAAAAAAATATAATTTTTTCTTTTTGTTTTTTGCTTATGCTTTTCGCGTTCTTTTTTTAATTGTTTTTATGACAGATCCAGGAAGCTTTCATTCATTTCCTCGGCCGCAGCCATTCTGCTTCGATCTTGTTGTAACTCTCTCACTCAGAATGGAATTCATTGCAGACCCGTTCTCCGAACACTCGTTGAATCAGCGTAAGATTGCCGTCATTGAGCCGGAAAAGGACGCTGCTCATGATTATGATGGGGAAAAAGCTCTTGTGGGGAAACTTATCACAAACAACGTGCTCGAACATGGTGTAATCGTCCAAAAGTTGAAGAATTTTTGGCGTCTCTGAGAAAGTATCTCCACCAGTGCGCTGGAGGACAATACTATTATGTTCTGTTTCAGCCTTCTTGATAAGAAAAAGGTATTAGCAGGCTCCCCATGATTTGTGGAAGACCATCTTCCGGTTCTGGAGAAGGACACGCCAAATATCATTGTCAAGAAGCATACTTTCTCACGTTCGCCGTTATGGATGCAACTACATGGTCTCCCAATAGGATTGATGTCTAAAAGTTTCGCAGCAACTGCCGGTAATAACATTGGCCGTTTTATGGAAGTCTACTGTGACAACGAGGGTTCATGTATTGGAAGGTTCCTTTGTATAATGGTCGATGTTGATATAAGCATGCCTCTAATGCGAACTATAACAATAAATCATGAAGGATCGTCGATGCGGATCGAGTTGAAATATGAGAGAATAGTAGATTTCTGCTACTATTGTGGTGTAATTGGCCACCAGCATGCCAAGTGTGATCTAAAACTCAGTAAACCCCTCTCAGCCTCCGAACCATTGGGCTATGGACCCTTCATGACGGCGGAGCAAACCAGTAATCCTTTCCCAGAACATTGTTTCCAGCGCCGACGTGATGGAGGAGAGTCAGCCGAGATGACACAAACCCTAGATCCCGACTCAAAAACTATCTTTACCCGCAACCAAAACAATACTGCTCCCAAAACATATGCAGAAGCCCTAGCTACAAACCCTAACCTGATATCCTTTAAACCCTCCAAACCTCCACCTCCACCTCGTAACCTCTAACTGGTACACTCTCACTCCTGTTTCTTCCAAAACCCAAACCCCTCTGCCCACTATTCCTCCAACAGCTGTGACCCCCACACTCTCCCGATCACCAAGAATGCCGCCAATTAGAGTGGCAACTCATTCTAACATATCTTCACGACACTTCATCCCAGCCATTGAAGCAAAACGCCTCTCTGAAGCTTACTCAGAAAAGAACCGCAACAATCCAAACCTAGTGTATTATGAAGACGGCTCTATTCTTGCATATTTTCCGCCAGTGTTGAATCCTAGGAAATCCCTTGAAGAAAATCTTGGCCTTGGAGATTCCACAGGGATGATGACCTATGCTGACTTCAGGCATTGAACCGGAATCAGCACTCTATCGACCAAACGACACCCTCAGAATCTCCCCCTGGTTCTCCTCCCCATGTTAACTTTCCATTGAATGTTACGGGTACTGAGTTGACCGCCTTGTACCATGCAAAAGTAGCAGCAAGTGCCCAAGCACTATCACTAGATCAACAACCCACTCCTGAACCCACCCACCCAGCTGCATCTCAACCCATCATTGACTATCCCCCCTCTCCACCTACATCCCCAAAGACGACTCTCCAGGACAGTACCACATTGCCAGCCAGGCCTTTCTTGGTCGAAGTTCCCATGCAAGCAGATTCTCCTATGAGGCGAGCTGAAAGAAAAGTTGCAATCCATCGCCGTCAAAAGATGTACTCCACACTGTCTAATGTAAGTCGGGAAGGACCACGAAAAGGAAATTGTGGATTGAAGATGAGATTGTGGAAAAAATTCCAGTTGAAGATCTTTCAAAAAGGGCTCGATATGATGATGCTGTATGGCAATCTCTCTTTTTGGATCAACAGGAATTTAGCTCCGAGAATAATTCAGCGGCAGGAAGTGGCACGGATAGTCGCCCCGGCCGAGAGATATGAGTCTTCTAAGTTGGAACTGCCGGGGGCTCGGGAACCACCGGACCAGCAAAGAACTACAGAAGCTTATCCGTAATAAGTCCCCCCTTTTTAGTCTTTCTTTCAGAAACAAAATGTAATGTTTCAGTTATTGATAATTTTAAACAATCTGTTAGTTATTTTGGTATTTCCATTAATGCAATTAGCTCATCTGGGGGTCTCGCCTTTTTATGGAGGAAGGACATCCCAGTTACAATAAAAGCTTTTTCTCGACATTATTTTGATGTTGAGGCAGTTTTATTTGACACTCCGGTTCGTGTTCTGGGTATGGTGAACCTGAATCTTCTCACCAGAAAGTGGCTTGGGAGACGTTTGCAAATCGCCTAGGTCAATCCAATCTCCCATGGATCTATTTCGAATACTTTAATAAAGTCTTGATGCACAACGAATACCAAA